GTTTATATCCTGATATAATATTGATCAAATTAACCACCATATAGCAGAAAATTGAATTAACGCCCATGCCAGCTACCTAATTTGCAAGGTCCAGTACAAATGGAAATGTGACACCCTGGCTAGACATGCTTATGTCAATCCATTTTTCCAAAATCCCACTAACCAACCCATGAAGGACAGGAGACCACAGAGCGAGTTTGGCAGCATCCATGAGGTAGAGGCAGAAAGGGGAAATGGGGTAACTCAGGCACTAATGGGTAACATGGAGTGGATGCCAAGAACTTGTCTCAGGGAGGTAATGGAGGCAGGATCACACATGGGCCAAGGCTCTCAGCCCCTGCACATGTTCTGCTGTCCCATCTGACTTCACTTACAGAACACAAACTCAGAAATAAAATGATTAAGAATTCCAAGATGGTGACCACTGAGCATTAAACTCTAAGCACAGGATCCTTCTGAGTGGGGGGGGGGGCCTGAACAGCTGCACTGGTCGCACCCCTACAAAGCCAGCCTTGGAAATGACTGTGAACAAAAAAGCAAATGATGTGTTCCTGGCCAGAGCACCCCGTCTCACACTGCCAGGCTGCACATGGCCAGTCGTGACAGCTGCAGGATTTGTTGCAGAACGAAGAATATCTGATGCACTCTCTCTCATAATCTATTATTTTCTGGGTTTGTTTGTTTTGGTTTTGGGTGGGTTTTTTTTGGATGGTTTTTGTTTTGTTTTTGTGGGTTTTTTTTTTTTATATATTGAACTCTATCTTTTTATTTTTCAACTCCTGCATGAATTCTTGCACATTAAAAGGGAATTAATTAGAGAAAATATTTGAATATTGCTATTTGCCCTTTCTCTATAATAGAAGTGTCAGAGATGAAAGTAAATTAATAAAATGGATATGAAAATCTTCCTCCTGTCAGAGTCTGGGGCACGCCATGGGAATCAGAGTAAAGTCCCCGCCCACCCACATACGCCTCGAAATCGCACAAGACCCAGACACGGCCAGCCCTACCCCCATCAAGGCCCACTGTGTGGTGGGGCACAGCCTGAGGTCCCCTGTCAAGCCCCATGGGCGGAGGGGGAGGGGGGTGTAGGGGGCCGAACAGCCTCAGGTCCCTGGCCCAGCACCAGGGTGGGGGTCACGGTCTGAGGTTCCCTGGCCCAGGCCAGGATGAAGGGCATGCCTTGAGGTCCTCTGTCAAGCCCCACCACCAGGCAGGGGGCACAGCCTCAGGTCCCCTGCCCCGGCCCAGCACCATGCAGCCTCAGGTCCTTGCTGATTGCTCATTAAAGCTCATTAAGGGAACTCGGCCTCTGCTGTGGGCACAACTATCTTGTGTTACAGAATCCCTGCCTCTGCTGTGGGTGCAGCCATCTTGTTACAGTGTGATGGTCAATTTGCATATTCCCTCTTTATTTGATAGGATTAACAGTTGACATACAACATTATATTAGTTTCAGGTGTACAACAGTGATTGTACATTTATATAATTTCTGAAGTGAGCACCCCCATAAGTCTAGTACCCATCTGGCACCATACATAGTTATTGCAATACTAGAGGCCCAATGCACGAAATTCATGCAAGGGGTTTGGCCCTCGCATCCATGGAGGCTTGTACCAGCCCTCACAGCCCCGCTTTGTCCAGAAGGAAGTCTGGAAGATCATTTGGCTGTTCAGTCTAATTAGCATATTATACTTTTATTATTATAGATTATTGAGTGTATTCCCTATTCTGAACTTTACATACTGTAACTATTTTTTTCAATTACAGTTTACTTTCAACGTTATTTTATATTAAAAAGAGAATATTATTTTGTACTAATTTCAGGTATACAGTACAGTGGTTCTTTTTTTCTTTCTTTCTAATTATGACCCACATGTCCTCCTGAGGGAAGAAGCCTGTCCTCCTGGCAACAAGAATGTGACCAGGTAACAAATATGAAGAAAGAAAAAAAACACAACACTATGACCAGGAGTCAGCAATGCTGGCTGCTCCTCTAACCTTTCCATATGTTTGCTACATTGCTTCATTTCTCTGGCCCTCTGCTTCCTTATTATTTAATTCCTCATGTAATAAAGTTGGCTTTCTTATTATAAATTATTAATGAAAGGGTTAGGACAGGTGATCTCTAACATTTCCTCCAGCTCTGCTTCTGGGAGAAGGAAACAACACAAATAGGTGTTGGACAAAAGGCATTTGACCTCTTGACTGTTTCATCTCCATTTTTAATGGACTCGTGGTAATCAATACACTTTGATTCATCAAAGTCATATCTGAACTGGTTGGTGTGATGTTGTTGCCACACAAAAGCCCAAAGAAATGAGGTGTGTGTGATGTGGAGATGTGGAGGCAAAAGGAGGCCTCTTTCCTTAAGGCCAAGCAGCACACGGGTTAATTCTAGCACCCCAGGTGTTTAAGTAACAATAATTAGCACCTAGGACACTGTTCTTTTATCTCAGGTATTCAAAGGCCTTTGTGTCATTAACCCATTAATTCCCCTGCCTCAAGCCCTCCGGTCAGGAGGAATCTCCTTAGAAGACAGGCTGGCCAGAACATCACAACAGTGAGGAATGGCTGACTAACTAGAGGAGCTGAGAGGAGGGAAAAGGTCACCAAAATAACTCTCTTGGAAGAATTAAGTGGGAAATCCTCTCTTGGTCTACTGACAACTATTTAACCACTCACTAGGCTTTTGAGTGAATTCTCATGGATGTCACATTTCATCATCCAGAAAATCCCTTTACCCTTTAATGTGAACTTTAGATTAGCCTTTACAGCTTCAGTCTGACCACAATTATCCCTAAAGCAAGTGAAGGGGAGGACTCTCCTCTCTAGATTATTCTTCTCTCAAAGGGGAAAAACAAAAACAAAACAACAACACTTGGCTTTTTAAAGTTAAGCCATCTCTAAAATAGACCCACAACACTTCAGAGTGACTTTGGGGTCAGTTAAGGTCTGGACTTGTTTAAGGTGGGTTTCATTAAAAAGCATCTGTTGGAAAAGCACACTGGTGAAAAGTACCTTCACAAGGCCTGGAATGCTATCATGAGGATCCTTAATTAAACAATCTGTCCACCACGTAGGAGATACTCCATGTGGGGCCAGGTGCTCTGGGTGCATAAAATGTGGAACTTGACCCCTAAGCACCTATCAATCTAATTGAGAGGATGAGGCTAATACAAACAAAATAAATTGATGAATGTAGTTACTATTTTAATACATTTATTTTATTAATAAATTAATTAATGCAAATAAAATAGGCAGAAAATAGGGTTTCTTTAATTTTGAACAGATAGACCCTCTGTGCTTGTTTGTTAAGTTCACAGAGGAAGAGGACAAATGAGAGCTAAAGTGATCAGGGAGGCAGGAAAGCTCATAGAGGAGACAGGATGAGCTAGATGTTTGTTTGTTTTTTCTTAAATCCTCACTCAAGGATATTTTTCTATTGATTTTTAGGGAGAGTGGAAGAGAGACAAAAAGACAGAAAGAAGCCCTAACAGGTTTGGCTCAGTGGATAGAGCATCGGCCTGCGGACTGAAAGGTGCCAGGTTCGATTCCAATCAAGGGCATGTACCTTGGTTATGTGCACTTCCTCAATGTTTCTCTCTCATTGATGTTTCTAACTCTCTATTCCTCTCCCTTCCTCTCTGTAAAAAAATCAATAAAATATATATTTAAAAAATAAATAAAAATAAAAAGACAGAGAGAAATATCGATGTGGGAGAAACACATAGATTGGTTGCCTCCTGCACATGCCTTGATCAGGGCCCGAGCTGGGGAGGAGCCTGCAACTGAGGTGTACATGCCCTTGACTGGAATCAAACCACAGGCCCACACTCTACCCACTGAGCCAAACCATCTAAGGCTGAGCTAGATTTTAAAGGTAGGAAAAGTATTTGGATAGGAAACAGGATCAATGGGAATAAAGCACAAAGGGTAAGTAGGAATAAAGCAAAGGCAGTCTGGGTCAGGTACAACATCAAAGAGATGGCAAGCACATGGGAGCTTGTTTACTTGGGAGGCAGTGGGAACACCAACCTGGATAAACCACAGGGCCAGGAGACCTGAAAGAAATGTGGATGAGAAAGGTAGGGCCAGGTCACAGAGCAACTTGAAACTGGACTAACAGGTACTGATTTGGGGTCTTCAGATGTCTCTGTCAAACTGTAAATATCCAGGAAAAGAACCAAGGAGTACATTGGGAGTAGAGGTGGAGGATGAGGAGGGGGCCGATAGCCAGTATAGGTGGGACATATAGCCAGTAGTAGTGTGTGATTGCAAGAGAAAAGGAATATGATCTGCCAACATCATCTGGTAACTTTCAATTTTGAGTTCTATCTTGGGCCCTAGGAATGCCCCAGTAGATTGAGAGCCAGAACAAATACATTCTGATACAGAGTAAGGAGAAGAGGGAGAGAACTTAGGCCAAAGCCCATCCAAGACTTGAGCAAGGACTTCTAAAGAAGAATAGCAGAGAAGACAAATTTCCCCCAATTCACAATTTTGCCAAAAACTGGCCCTTTAAATGCGCATACCCTCTTTTTTGGCTCAGTAAAAGTTTTATTCCTTTGTTGAGTGGATGCTCTTTGGATCTTACAATCAAGATCAAGATCTGAGGAAGACTCTGGAGACAGCATTGCAGGAAGTAGGTCAGGAGAAGAATGAAGGGTCCTCATGTCAGATCACCTGAAGGCCTCTCTCAGCTTCCAGTACATATTGGAATATATGGGGAGCAATCAGTCACTCCTAAGTTCACTCCCCCTTCAGGACCTCTCTAAGGCCAAGGTGCCTTGAGTGAGCAGTGGAGTGGAAAATAATTGTTATCACCAAAGAAGTCTCTGTAGAAAAAGTTGCTGTGAAACTGGAATAGGTGTGTCTTTCTGACCTTCCGGCTTTTTTATAGGCACTGCAGGAATCTGAGTGAGGGCCTCAGTCCTTCCGCCCATTTGGGGAGAGAATAAAGAAGCTGAGGTTGTCTCCTTCTTACTCATTGGCAGTTACAACCTCGCAGTCAGCAGAGCCTCAGCTTCCAGCGTGGACACAGAGAAGGTAAGTCGGAATGAAGGGGCCATGCCTGAGCTATAAGCCTGGGTCACTCCAGCCATCTGGCTTGGGAATAACTGAAGAGGAGGCGAGCTAGGAGTATTCGATTGCAAGGTACTTTTTTCCAAATGAATATGCGGAATTTTTTTCCTAGACAACCTCTTTTAAGACATAGATTTTGGTGCTAAACTACCCAAAAAGTTATTTAAAGGCAGGGACCATATTGTATCCTTCTTTGACAAACAAATAGTAAATATTGAAAATAATATGATGCATTGAATTGACTTGAATTTAAAGAAGGAACAGTCATTAATATTACTAGGAAAAAAATCACCTGTCTGTCTCCTTCAAGCAGTGCATCAGTGTCTTGAGTGATCCAATGACCCATTAATGTCAACAACCCTTGTCCTGGAGCCTGATTTATCTGGAATCTTATAGATCATGCATATCTTGTCAAACGCACCAATTTATGAAAAAGATTCTGCCTGCATTAACTTCAAAAAGCCTTGTAACAGAGAAATTGTAACATAGAAATGGATGGATTATCTGGAAAGACTGTTCTGTTCTTCCCAGTAGGATAGTTTTGAAGGTTTGATAGTTTGAGGGCTATTTCATTTAATATGTCCAGATGCCTTTAATTTAGAGAGAGAAAGACATTACAATGGTATGCCTATACCCAACATGTATTCTTGTGGGTAGATGTAAAGTCATAGGTTTGTCTCATCTTTTTTTCTGCAGGAAAACAGAAGTCCATTCTCGTGAAGTCCACTTACAGTCACCATGTATGAGGACTTCAGCGAGTCCACTGGGGACCATTATTTCCTCTGTGACACTGAGGGGCCATGGGGCATTGTGCTGGAATGCCTGGCAATAATTGGCATAGTGGTTACAATTATTCTGCTCTTGGCATGTCTCTTCTTCATGCGAAAGGTTCAAGACTGTTGCCGGTGGAATGTTCTCCCCACCCAGGTCCTCTTTCTCCTGGGCGTGCTGGGGCTCTTTAGCCTTGCTTTTGCCTTCATCTTCCAGTTCAATCAGCAGACTGCCCCTGTACGCTACTTTTTCTTTGGGGTTCTCTTTGCTCTCTGTTTCTCATGCCTCTTGGCTCATGCCTCCAACCTGGTGAAGCTAGTCCGCGGTGGAGTCTCCTTCTCTTGGACGACGATTTTGTGCATTGCTATTGGTTGTAGCCTGTTGCAGACGATCATTGCCATTGAGTACGTGACGCTCATAACGACCAGATGTATGATGTTTGTACAAATGGCACCCTGTCAGCTAAATGTGGACTTTGTGGTACTCCTGGTCTATGTCCTTCTCCTGATGGCCATCACCTTCTTCGTCTCCAAAGCCACCTTTTGTGGCCCATGTGAGAACTGGAAGCAGCATGGAAAGTTCATCTTCGTCACGATGCTCATCTCCATCATTATCTGGGTGGTGTGGATCTCCATGCTCATGAGAGGCAACCCGCAGCTCCAGCGGCAGCCCCAGTGGGATGACCCTGTCGTCTGCATCGCCCTGGTCACCAATGCGTGGGTTTTCCTGCTGCTGTACATCATACCTGAGCTCTGCATTCTCTACAGATCGTGTAAACAGGATTGCTCTTTACAGGGCAACGCCTGCTCGGCCCCCGTCTACCAATGCAGCTTCAGAGCGGAGAACCAGGAACTCTCAAGAGGTACTTTCCTGGGGGTATTCGGAGAGCAGGGAGGTTCTTCTGTGGGAGAAACAGGAGAGAAATAGGACAAGAGGGCAGCCAAGGGGGAACAAAAAGGGAGTGGTCAGAATGTAGTGGATGGCTAAATAGTTCAAGCGTGGAAATGAAGACCCCAGAATCAAGGTTAAACTTTCATGAAAAAACGAGTTCTTTCAAAATACAGAGAGACCAATGGAACAAGACCAAGGCAGAAATGAACCAAAGGCCCTAAGTAAAGAGGGTGTGGCTCTCGTGCTCATGCTGGGTAAAGAAAGGCGCCCACTATAAAATGACTTAATCAGCCCCAAATTAGGCTTGCACCGCGCAATTGCATGACATATAATGCTAAATCCAGATGTTGTGGCTGTCAAGTACAAAAGTCAATCCTGGCCACAGTGATTGACATTTTAAAAGTTAAGTCTCAAAGTTAATTTGCCCAAACATCATCATAAACTGATTTGCAGGATTCATCACCTCATTAAAGTCACAAAGCCAAGTAACTCCGGATCTCTGCTTTTCAAAGTGTTCACTGCTTAAAACCCTTCAGGGTTTACAAAAAGGAACAGGAAGAGGCATTAAATCAGAATCCTGAATAAAGGCACAGATGCACTATCATTAATAGAAATAAAAGCAATGTGCTTATGTGACAATTTCATAATAATTTCTAGGTCACATTTTGATCCTTATGTAAGAGTAAGCCATCTGACTATCCTTTATTAAAGAATAAAATATATTACCCATGCCAATAAGGAGGCTTGGACACCAACAACCTGAGGAAAATGGTGGCTGATTTCAGTCATCTGGAAATATGTCAAAACTCTTTATTTCCTTTCTAAAACATCTGGCATATTATTCATAACCAAATGTCATAGTTGCACATCAATTCTTGTGTCTTAATAGGCATCTGATTTCTCACAATTTATTTCTAATGTGCAAAGATGATGCTATTTTATAGACTGCATAGCACATATAATGGTCACTAAGCTCAAAAAATTAATAGGAGCTTTCCTTTCAAGTGCATACACTTTTTAAAGCTGTAATCTATGGCTAATTACACATTCAAATTAAATCCTTCTCGGATAGATGCACCCATTAATTCTTTTCAGCTCAGATGACCGAGAGCCAGACACTGACAGTATATGTCCTTCCGATGGCAGTTTTTCATTGCTTGCTGATGCCGTGTAATCAGCTCGCTGAGGTTTGTGGCAGAATTGCAGAGTCCATCTTTCTTGAAACTACTTCTCATAGTTCTCGCCAGAAGATAGGATAAAACTTCTCCTGTTGGTTTTATTGTTGTTTCATGATTCCAGGAAACAAAAGTCAGAGAGAGGAGAAGAGAGAGAAAGAAGTCTTAGTTTCATGAATCCCAAGCACACTGGAATTTGTAATGATCGATATTCCATACCCCAAAAATACTGGGCAAATGTTTAACGTTGTTGGATTGTCCTGGTGGAAGAGCAAGAGCTTGCAAAAACACAGTGTTTCCTGGGACTAGCCCTATTCCTCCAGCGTCGTTAGAAAATCAATTTCTGAGCAGAGAACAGCCTGCCAGTGACATCAGCGTCAGTGTAGTCTGATACTTGGTTGGGGGCAGCGGGAGGCAGGGGACAATTGTGTAGTAAAGAACACATAGATTGTGCTCCAAAATTGGGCAGAATAAGCAGAAACTTAAGTTTTAGAGAATGGAATCAGAATTTAGGTCACCTGGAAAAAGTACAAATATCAAATATTAGAAGAATTATTAAAAGCCAATAAAAAGTACACGATTACACCTAGCTAGGGAAAACATACAAATAGACACAAAATAGATAAAAAACCAGGCAAGTATCATATAGTAAGTACAGTATAATAATTACTTGAAAAATCCTAAGTGTGTCATAGGTCATGAGCTGACAGTGGGACAGCAGCTTAGCCCTGTCTTTGTTTTTGTTTGCTCAGGAAACAATCTCCCTACTATATAAACAGACCTGTGGTTAGCAAGAACAATGAGGCCATTGTACTCAACATGGGTCAGTCTCTCACAAGAACACCCCTTCCAGTCCTGGGATCCACTAATGAGAAGTGTGGGGAACTTAGAGAGGTTTCGGTGGGAAACCACAATAGATGATTAAAGGATTAGTTAGAACGTCAGACCTGTGAGGAAAGGCTAAGACAATGAAACTGAGATGGCAGTTGTGGATGTGTCCTTCTCATAGACTGTTTACCTCTCTCTCAATTCTGTGCTACAACATGACGTCTTGCTTGAGTCTGTGAAGTATGTGTTTGTTATATGACTCTTCTGATTAATAGTGTTTGTAGCTGCGACTCCAGCCACATAATTATTTGATTTACCACTGGGTTGTGTGGACCAGAATTATTCAACTGAAAAGAAGAATAAGCCAAGAGGGGATTCGCAGGGAATTTCACAAGTATAAAAACCTCTCTCTGAGAGGCTATTGTCCTGTTATTTTTCTGTTTCCAACTGAAGACAATAGAGACAGAAGTGGACTCAAACCAAAGCATGAGGGATTTAGATTAAATAGAAAAATAAGGGTTGGTAAACACTGAAACCGATTAGCAAAGGGGGGGGGGGGGTTTAAGGACCCCATTTCTCTGGAAGTCTTGTGAAAGAAGATTAAGCTTTATCTCTCTGAAGTGGCTTAGGGACTTAACTCCAAGATATAAAAACATCTGGATGAAGAATGAGAATGCTGTCATGTTGCTACAGAACACCAAACAATTGGATATAAATACTCTATGTCCTGTAACAAATGTGTTCCTAGCAATCAGTATATCGATTGATCTTTTAAATTTAGTTGTTCTTTTAACTGAGAATTCTTAATATGATAAAATTTACAGAGACCTCAAGTATAGTAGAATATCAGCTACCAATCTTTTTTTAGGGTGGGAAAGCTCCTTTTCTAATTAGTGCCTACTTTACCTGTTTTAGACTAATTAGAATATTGTTATATCAGGTTTGGTCAGAGCAAGACCCATGAATATTTGAAAGTGTCACATTATTGTGGGAATTTTTCCATCCAGTGTTTGAATGTGTACAAAAAACCTAGTATTATTTCATTTGAAGGTTTTAAGACAAAAATAAAACATCTATCCTAAATAATAAAAGCCTAATATGCAAATCAACTAAATGATGAAATGACCAGTGGAAGAACCAGTTGCTATGACGTGCACTGACCACCAAGGGGCATACACTGAATGCAGGAGCTGCTCCCAGCCTGCAGGTCCCAGGCCAGCCCATGTGGGTGCCAGAAGGTCCTCTTTCCCCAATCGCCCCACTGGTCAACACACAGATTGGCCCTGATCCTGCTAGGCCTAGGGACCCTTCCTGTACATGAATTTCATACACCAGGCCTCTAGTGTAATATAAAAATGGGTCAATGACTATAAAATAATATGAACCAAGAGAAAAATTATTTTGCAAACATAAGCCCTTTGGTTTGTTTTCCTTATAGCAATTACTCACTTTTGCTGAACATGGTTCTTTTTTTAAGAATTCTCAACAATTTTTTCTTCAAGGAACCCACCTTACTATGAGAAACCCAATATGAATGGTCTCAGTGGGTATGACCTTCATTTGTTCTTTCAGGGGAATAAATTGTAAACCTCTTTTTGTCACCCTCAAGAGCAACAGGTCACAAAGAGAGAGAACTGGCATAGTGTGGGGAGGAAGGCGGTGAGCTGGACAACTGGGCTTCTCTCATTTATGATCTGTTCTGATAAGAATGTGAGACAAACATTGGTTACCACAGGGTTGTGTGTGAAGGAGTCTTGTTATGCCACAAGGAACAAAGTTAAACCAAAAATTCAGTTCATTCCCCTGTGAAGGAAAAAAAAGACTTTCATATATCACCGGATCCAACCCCTCTAAAAAGTGCCAGTAGGAGGATGTCAGACCATCATTTATAACTATGCCACCAGCACTGCCACCAATAATAACACACAAAGGATAGCACTGTGGTGGTTTCTGTACTGTATATCATACCTTATTCCAAGGGCCATATATATATATATATATATATATATATATATATATATATATATATATATATTAGTTGATTTAATCTTCAAAACAAACCTATGAAATACAATAGATTTACTGTTTTGATCATCATGATCCCTCTTTTACTTCCATCAGGAAACAAAGGCAACAATCAGTTAAGGCAGTGGTCGGCAAACCGCGGCTGTCGAGCCACATGCGGCTCTTTGGCCCCTTGAGTGTGGCTCAGTGTTAGAACCACTTCTTCAAAATAGACCCACCCAGGTTGAAAACTGACTTCGGTGCATGAGTCATAAAGTTTTAATTGCACTGTACCTGCATGCGCACACATGGTATTTTATGGAAGGACCACACTCAAGGGGCCAAAGAGCCACATGTGGCTCGAGAGCCGATGTTTGCCGACCACTGAATTAAGGAATTGGGCCCTGGGTAACACAGCTAACCAATGAGAGAGCAGAGCAGACCTGCTCCATATCTACAGCCACGAAGTGTGAATACCAGTGGCCCAGCTATGCCTGTAACCATCAAACAACAAACATGTATCGAGCCAGGGCCTAGCCTCAGAGACAAACACAGCTACTTTCTTCATAAAGCTACAGTCCTGTTGAGGAGACAAACATTCAACAAATAGCTACATGTGTGATGTTCTACAATACAAAATTGTCTTTAGTGATGCTTTATATCATGTCCAGGTTTTTTTTTTTTACATCAAATTAAAATGTGTAGTGTCAAGCCTCAGAGACTTTAGAGATGACTTAGTTGAGGCTTTTTATTTTGCTGCTGAAGAACAGTGAGATGCCCTGGTCGGGTGGTGATACCAGAGAGCAAAAGCTCAGACCCAGTGCCCGTGTTTTCTCTCTAGAAAGCGATGAGGGATCTTCAGCCTCTTTAATTACTAACCACAGATGAGCTTCTCCTGAACACAAAAGGCCCTCCATAGACAATCTTCCTCAGAAGCATTAAAAAAAATACTCCTTTTTAAATTACAGATTTTTTTGTTGTCGTTAGAACAGCCTCAATGGAGAATTCCTTTCTAAAGGGCCAAGAGCCTCTTTGCAAACCATTCAATCTTCTCCTCGTCCTCGTGTGCTGTTTCCCAATGAAGCTCTGACACTAACCCAGCCCTTCCCTCCTTTGGCTTTCAGCCCGAGACAGTGATGGAGCTCAGGAGGATGTAGCATTAGCTACATATTCAGCTACAGGTAAATGTGCTCATCTACACTCACCAGAGAGGGCCAGATCAAGCACGCCCGCCTTAGGAGAGCGGTCAGGCTTCGTCTCAGTGGCTTGTACTGACCTGAGAGAGGAGTGGCAGGGCAGGGTCATCCTTACAGGCATGTGGAGCTTGCGCCTTCTAGACGAAACCATGCCAGGGTGGCACAATAAAGGCAAGTCGGGCCTTTTGCTTCTGCCCAAGCCCCTCCCAATCCCCATCTCTGCTGCCATCACCAATACAGTGTCCTGAGAAGAAAAGGCAGCTTGAGGGTTTGTTTGAGGGTGCAGAGAAGCACCGCTGTTGACCCTGGGGACAAGAGCGGGGGGGGGGGGATAGTAAGTATGTTTTTAGTCAAAACGATCCCTGGAGTCCCACTGGCTGCCTGTCTGAGTCATTGCCCAGCTCCAGCTGCCCAGGATGCCCCGAGTGCTGGGTTAGGTCTTGACATCATCATCTGCATGTCCAGCTGGACATACTAATTTTAATCCTTCTGGGCCAACGCAGAGGGAACACTGCTGAGTAGAACTGGAGGAAACTTGTTTTTTGTGCTGTGATGGCCTGAAGTCACACAATCCAGACACAATTCTTGTCCTATGGGGATCAAAAGTAACTAAAATGCAAGAGAGAAAGTCACATACTGTACTAGGCAGCTCTAGGCTAATCAGTCTGGTCTGTTATCCGAGACTCAGCCTTTTCCTGGAATGACACACAGTCCAGGATATAACTGTATCTTTTGCTATAATTAACCCTCTGGAGGGCCTGTACACGATGGAAAAAATCTTTATTACCCCCTGTGAGAATTTCTTGGGTTACTTTCAACTTCCGGTGATCAGCTGCTATTCAAGAATCTTGCAAAGAGATTCTTGATAACAACTAAGGGTAAAGAAGTTCTGATATGGGTAGGCTTGATTTCCCCCCCCCCTTTTTATTAACCAAGTATTAAATGATGGTGAAATAACAGTATTTTAAACATGGTTCTAGAGAGTATTATTCCCTATGTTGGCTCAGAAAGTTTATGATGGCGTTTCTTCCTTTCTAGACTGTTGATCTCACACAAGAGTATTTCATCCCACGGCTAAACTCTGATGCGGGAATTATAAAGTCCACGGGAATCGTGAGTAGTGAAAACCCAGAAGACCATCCTAATGTAGCCCTGGTGGGCCGCTGGGGAGTCCACAGAATCACACTGCCAACAAAACATCGCCTCCTCCTTCCTGCTCTGCTTCCTGGTCCTCTCCATCCATCTGGACCTCCATCAGAAGACCGCCTATTCAAGCATAATTACAGTCTTGCTGGCCACCCTACCTGACTATGTGTCTCTTTCTTCCTTCTGTAACTGAAAGCTTCCCTTCCTTAGCAACGCTAGAACAAATTGGTTCCTCTTACCAATGGAACCGAAAGACCCTGGTCTAAAGAAATTGGGGTCACTCTAATATGACAAAGTCTAGAGGTCAGTAGCAACTCACTCTTGGAATACTCTTCTAGTCATTTTTTTGTTTATTTGTGTGTTCGTTTGTTTTGTTCATCCGCACCCCAAGGATATTTTTCCATTGATTTTTAGAGAGAGTGGAAGGGAGGGGAGAGAGGAAGAGAGACAGAGAGGAGAAGAGAGAGAAATATTGATGTGAGAGAAACACATGGTTTGGTTGCCTCCCACACTGCCCAGGCTCAGGGATCAAACCTGCAACCCAGGTACGTGCCTTGGACAGGGAATCAAACCCGAGACCCTTCGGTGTACGGCCAACACTCTAACCACCGAGAAACACCAGCCAGGGCTAGTCACTTTTTACAAAGGGCCCCTAACATATCAGTGATCCAACATTTGTGATAAAAGTCATAGCAGAATCCTCAGGATCCCACCGATGGGTATTTTAAATAACGCGGACATTTCATAGTCTTGGAGGCTGGCAGACTCTCTCCCAGGATGTCTGCACCCTAGGACAGCGAGTAGGATGGCATATGTGGCTGGGGTCAGTGACCCGCTTTGATGAACCAGTAACAGCGAAGAAAGAGCCACCCAGCTGATGCTCATAAAGGATTTTAGGTGCTGCACATAAAAAGCAGGGTCTGCCTGTCTTGAAGTTTCTAATGAACCGATGCCTCTGCCCTAATTACTCTGGCTTCATTCCTCATGCAGCCCCACGTTCTTCCCCACGGATCCATCTGTCCTCAGCACCCATTTGTTATGTGTGGCAGTCAGAGCAGGACAGAGTCAGAGGTGTGCTGGCAGAAGGGCTCTAAGGACCTAATTCAGCCTCATGACCTTGCAGGTGAGGAAGCAGAACCCTAGACAGATGGAGTGACTTGCCCAGAATCACACAGTGGTTAGTGGTTTTCCAATGCATAGACACCTCTTTGCCCACTCCAGCAGGCTTCTCCATGCCTGTGTTTCTGTATTTACAAGAAAGGTGTGCTCCTCCCTGAGAACCAAATGGGATATTTCAGACCAGTGAGTGTTGAGTGCTGCTGTGTAAAAGATCTTTGAAAAATAGCTAAGACTCCATGAAGGGGGGAGGGGGAAGCCTTTTTAATGTACAGCATGGACTTCTTCAATGTCAGGAGTATCTCTTGAGCATGTGCAGGGTACCCGGAACTATTCTCAGGCTCGTCCTGGGCTGACAGCACTGCTTTGAAAGATATATGTTATTTGTGGTGGGGAGTGTGAAGTCCCATATCCTGAGTGGTTCAGGGTTCGAGCTCTGGAAGAGGGGCCTCATGCAAAAGAAAGAGAAGAGAGAAGAAATAATAACTTGGAAATATTGGGGGGCCAGGCAGGATCCCAACTCAAGAGGAAGGACTCTGGTTGGGCTCAAGCCTTGCTATCCTTTTATTCAATTTGGGATACACCAATAGCCCTTAGGCAGGCAATTGCTAGTAACAGACCGAGCACCTTATCAATAAGGATTTATATGACTATCTGGTAGGGAAGTTGCTTCAGCTACCATTGTCTCGACTAAACAATGGGTGCCTAGCTCTGACCTTTGCCAGGGCTTAAGGGTCACCAGCATTCTGGGCTCCTTGTCCACACCTCTCTGCTAGTGAAGACAATAAAATAGGCGGTTTCCCACAGGGGAGATAACACAATGCAAAGGATTTTATTTTTATTGATTTTTAGAGAGAGAGAAAGGGAGAGGGAGGGAGAGAACAAAACATCGATTGGCTGCCTCCTGCACATCCCATACCCGGATTGAGCCCACAATCCAGGCATGTGCCTTGACAGGGAATGGAACCGGCAACCTTTCGGTGCATGGGACACCCAACCAACTGAGCTACACCAGCCCGGGCAACAGTGCCCTCCTTTTAGAGATGAGGAAAGGGACTTGCCCAGGATAACATGGCTTGTTAGTGACAGAACCAACTAGAATTCAGGTCAGCAGCTGCTGTTTAAGTCCATTTTCACATATTTTTCTGCTACCCTCAAATTAACTGCTCCTTTTTTAAATTTGTGCCCTGGGCAATGTTCTCAGCACAAATCAGTACCTAGGTTAAGTGACCAGAGTTTTACCTTCTGCTTTTATTGGTAATAGAAAAAAAAAAAATACACACACACACACACACACACACACACACACACACACACACAAAACATTAAGCCTCAGATCTATTGATTAGGTGGCATACTACTTAACAAACCAGATAAAGACGCTAATTTGAGAGGGAACAACAACCCATGCAACCTCACATCTTTGAAAGAAAACCATCACACTGATCCTCCTCGTTTCTAACCCCCAAATGATAGCAATGACACCTTTGACATAATTTTGTTTGTTTTGTTTGTTTTACTGGCAGAAACTTTTCTGTTGAGTCAGCTCACAAATTTTTTTATGTATATTTTATTGAGTTTTTACAGAGAGGAAGAGAGAGGGATAGAGAGCTAGAAATATCGATGAGAGAGAATCATCTATCAGCTGCCTTTCTTTCTTGTACACCCCCTACTGGGGATGTGCCCGCAACCAAGGTACATGCCCTTGACCGGAATCGAACCCAGGACCTTTCAGTCCACAGTCTGACACTCTATCCACTGAGCCAAACCAGTTTCGGCCAGCTCACAAATTTTAATGAACACATTTTAATGAAGCCATATATGGTAGCTCATACTGTTTCCCAAAATGTTTTTTTTCTAAAATTAGTAAAGGTAAAATTTAACGTCTTTGTACCAAATTGCCTCTGAAGTGGAAAGCACAATTTAACCAAATGTTGGATTACGTATTAGTTAGATTAGGGGGTGGGAAGGGGGGCTGTACTTTCCAAGTATTTTGTTCAGGATGTTTCAGGAATGAAGTTGTACTATAAGGTTACACACATGGCAGCAGGGAGACAAAACTCTCTCTCTGGGAACCCAGTGTAGTCACCCATCTGGCTTCATATAGATGGACTACTGTCCGGCATTGGGAGGAGCTTATTGTCCCCCGCCCTGGTCCCACAAACCCCGCTTAGCCACTATCCGCTGACTGACTCTCTCCCTATATGTCATAATTTAATGAATTATGACATATAGGGAGAGAGTCAGTCAGCGGATAGTGGCCCTAAGAAGGGGTCTGATTGGTCCAGCTACTCATCACTGTCTCTGATTGGAAACTCTTTTGCATTGTTCCTCCTCTTAATGTACAATCAGCCTGTGGATTGGCTGTCTTTAGGTCCAGTACCCTCCATTGGTCCATTCAGCTGGTTTTGTCATGTGGTACAGACTTGGTCACATATGTCTGCTCCCTAGTGAGAAGTGTTCTGTGGGCAACAGGGGAAGGCATAACATGCATCATGACTGACCCACTCAGGGGAGACTAATCCAGGAAAATAAGCTTTTATGAAATTATAGAATATTTTAATGAAAATATAATTTTATTCCTTTTGAGTTTATGGAGCAATTCACATAAAGCTAAAAACCCCAATCGTCTTCTAAGTTGAGATTCATGAGGAACCATTTAAAAGAATAAATAAAACCATGATTAGCCTATTGTACTCAATTACTTAATACAATAAGTATTACTTGAAGATCTAAACTCACTTATATGTAATGGGTTACATAATTTGAAAGGCACTTAGTCCTCTTCTGATTTTATTTATTTATCCAAAAGAAAAAGTATCAATGAAAAACTTCACTATAAAATACCTTCCTGATATAAATGGCTGGTTAGCTCAAAACTAACAAAATATCTGCTTGGGTAGGTATTATCCTATATAATAAAAGGCTAATAATGCAAATTGTACCCTCCATGAAAATCTGACTGGGAGTTTGACCAGGGGGCAAGGCTGGCTGACTAACCTCTTGTGTCCCCTCCTCTTGGCCAGCCTGGCCTGATCAGCCCTAATCAGGGAGGACTGGCCAGACCCCACCAATGCATGAATTCGTTCACTGGACCTCTAGTTTAATATATCCTACATCTTGATGTTTTTTTTCCTCCTAATTCAAAGAGCATCAAAGGTTTATGTCCCTCCATATTAAATCCCATAAACCTAAAGGGTCTCTACTTAGCATTTTTTTAAAATATATTTTATTGATTTTTTTTTTTACAGAGAGGAAGGGAGAGGGATAGAGAGTTAGAAACATCAATGAGAGAGAAACACCAATCAGCTGCCTCCTGCCCCCCCCCCCACTGGGGATATGCCCAAAACCAAGGTACATGCCCTCGACCAGAATCGAACCCAGGACCCTTCAGTTCACAGGCCGATGCTCTACCCACTGAGCCAAACCAGTTTTGGCTCCACTTATCATTTCTTATTTCAATCTGTGGTGTGGTTAGGCTAACTTTTCCTCACTCTCTCCTCTCTCTACCCATCATTCCTTCATTCTTCTTTTATATAAATGCTCCCTTGCCGAAACTGGTTTGGCTCAATGGATAGAGCGTCGGCTTGGGGACTGAAAGGTCCCGGTTTGATTCCGGTCAAGGGCATGTACCTTGGTTGCAGGCATATCCCCGGTAGAGGGTGTGCAAGAGGCAGGTGATCGATGATTCTCTCTCATCGATGTTTCTAACTCTATCTCTCTCCCTTCCTCTCTGTACAAAATCAATAAAATATATTTTTTTAAATGCTCCTTTTCCTAGGATTATATATCTTCATATTGGTCAGATTTGTGCTCTTTTTATCCTACTTTTCATCCTCCCACAATCAGTTCTAAATCCACTTTTTTCTCAGAAATTTCCTCTGGAGACATGAGGACACAGGGTTGTCACACATCAAGACCAGCTTAACTTATGGCACAATGAGGTTCCCTTTTTTCTCTTCACACTCAGATAGTAAACAAGATACTCCTGTAGCACCATTCTCAGAATAAGTCTAATCATCTATTTTAAAAGCACACAATGAGAAATAAACTAGAAAATCTATGTTTTTTCCCTTGGTAGAAAAGCTGCTGTATTTTGCATTTGAGGGAGATGCTTCTCAATTAACATTAAATGGGAGTGATCATGAAGACCTTGACTTTGAGAAGTAATACTTGACATCTGAGTAAAGAAAGACTTTTCTTGAAATTGTTAAAAATGTCTTAATGGCTCAGTCCAGTTTGAAGCTACTGGTCTCTCGTGAGAGATCAAGTTTGCTG